CACACACACACACACACACACACACACACACACACACACACACACACTCCTGCCTAACTTGGGAAGGTACCAATGTTTTAGTTGTTACCTGGTGTTGAGAAGACTTTTTAATCTAGAAACAGACACTTCCCCAAACTTTTTTCCTCCTCTTCTTTGACAAGTGTGTTCTTTGTGTGTGAGAGAGAAAGCTAGTGAGAGTTCTTGTTAGAACAAAATTGACACATTGATATTTTTGTTCTTTGCTCCACACCTCATCAGTTCCCAGTGTGTGAAGGAGAAGGGCTGGGGACTCTTATATCCCACCAAATCTTGAGGGCTCTAACGTCTTTTGATGACATCAGCTGGGCCCTCTTTACCTTGTTTCACAGTGAGGTTTTAGACTCTTGCCTTTTCTGCGCAGTCCACAAGGATTTCTACTGTCGCCTCCCCCACCCCATGGCCAGAATAGCAAAGCTGTAGGAACAGCTGCTTGCTGCCGACAGTTGTTCTAGCCCAGAGGATTGAGCCCCTCCCACATCACTCGGCCTGATGTTCTCGTGTCTTACAGCTGTCAAAATCAGGCGGAAACCGCTCTGCGCCAGGCCTTCAGGGTTTAACCAGAGTGGCTCAGAGACTGGACGGTGTTGGCTTTCCCAGCTCTAACCTTAGGTTAAGCGGCTTCGCTTTGAGCACTCGAACCTTGAATTATCCTTGAACGTGCTCATCTGCCCTTGTGATTAGCAGTGTTGTAGGGCCTTATTGTTGCATTTCGAAATTTTGCCTTCAGAATGACTGCTACATATTCTCATGTTATGAATTTGCAGGGGACTTTGAAGAGCAAGTCTGTGCGCGGCTTGGTACCGTGTCGCCTTGCCATGCAAGGGCCTTGTAAAGGCTAGTGAAAGCCCTGTATTCTTAGCATCCATCCACCCTGCCCCGGCTGTGGGATCACATCAGATTCCCCTGGCTAGCAGGCTTCCCAGGGCTTTGACTGAGAGCACGCGGGCATTCAAGGATCTGTCTTGCTTGGTTGTTAGGCAGATGCTAAGGTAAGATGTACCAAGCACTACACATGGTAGGCGGTGGCTATTAAAGTGATCAGGCCTACACTAAGAAGTCAAAGAAGAGGCTGCGGATGTAGTTCAGCTGGTAGAGTCCTTGTCTAGCATGCGTGAAACCTGAGTTAGGTCCCTGGGTCACTTAAGGAAGTAGTGGCTTATGCCTGTAGTTTTAGCACTCAGGACGTTCAGCCAGCTCGGTCAGAAGTGGAAGGTCATCCTCCATCCTCCACTTCATAGGAAGTTTGAGGCTAGCCTGATGCGTGACATACCTGTGTGGAGGAGAAAGGGGCAGGGGGCAGGGGGCAGGGAAGAGTCCCTGATGGTAGTGAAATGTCAGTATACAGGGTTGTAAAGAAAGCCTGAGAG